GTTGAGATGTCACCAAGTGTGCTTGTAGCTTGTGAATCTTTTCTATGTGTGCTAGGAATTTTAAAACATTAATCATGGCTCCTCCAGAGTAAATCTTTCAGAATTTTATATCAGTATGGCATATGTTAAAACATAATCTTGGTGATTTACAATTACATCTCTCCTTATCATAGGCAATGGAATCCCTTCTTCCAAGTTCGATGTATCTCATATTCTGTAAACCAATGTCAGAACTGAGTTCATCGTATGCATCTTCGAAGTAATGTATTTGATTCGATTTATCTTAGATGGATTTGGTGAATTTTCTGTTGAAATGTTATATGTGGTTATCTGATGGTTGGACTCAGGTCAAATTCTGGACTAATCTTTGTGCTACAACCACAAGGGAGTTGATTGTCTTCTCGCCCTTGCTAAACACTAACTATTAGATCTAAAGATCATTTTGTGGGGGTTATTGTTATTTGGTTAACTGGAAAGTTGATGCTCAGAGAGGTTGGTGATGTGGAATTGAGGTGGATACGCCATACCTAGACTATATGCTTGGTGTTCATTTTGCCGGGTGGATCTAATTTCATATTTCCTAGCTATGCAACTCTTGCATGGTAGTTAGATGATTACAATTCTCAAATATCATGCTGACTGAACCTTCAATATTCCGTTATATTTTCAAACATTGACATCCCTTAGCCTACTAAATGTCATTATCGCCGACGTGTTTACATCCATATGCATACTGAATTTTTTTTGGAAGTGGATAATTAACGAACTCTGTACTCTCTGTAGATGGTCAACCTTTAATGTTGGATGAAATTGAAAAAGAGCTTCCTGCCTGCTCCTCGAAGAATTTGTTGGAATCAAAGTGGACATTCATAACTCAGGAGGTACAATTTTACATATCCCATGTCTACATTGATGATAAGTATGCTGAATTTGCCATTCTTTCTCCATCTGACTTCTAGTTAGCTCTATGCCTGTATCTGTTGCTGGTCTGGTTTAGAACTGAAATCTTAACTGTTCAGACTAAGGTTTATCAATTCATATATGTTTGCTTTTATTGCAGGAACATCCATACTTGAATAGGCCATGGTACAAATTACATCCCTGTGGAACTGGTGAGTGGATGAAGCTACTTTTCATGGGTGATGCTGCTCTGCTTAAACATGGGGATTGGACCGAAACATATCTTGCATCATGGCTTTCAGTGGCAGGGCAAGTTGTCGGCCTTAAGATCCCTCGTAGAATGTTGAATCATTATTATCAATCTTGATGTTTCGTGGACATGGCTTGCAAATGAAACCGTGTAATGTTAGGTACAACTCAAATTTTTTTGTTATTTTTTTATATATATTTTAGTTGTATAATAAAGTGAATATTTAAATAACTTAATAGTTATCTCTTTTCATTAGAAGTAAAAGGTATTGAGTTCGAATTGCATGACATATTAGTAAGATGAGATAAGGGATAGGAGATGATTACTTTTCATGTGCAACGAAAAAAAAAAGAAAAAAAAAGTTATATAATAAGAGATTATTATTTATTAACCAGACATAAAAATATTAAGTTGAAAAATATTGTAAATTATTTTATTTTAATAAAATATATTAAGAGAAAAGACTAAAAAATTTTATTTAAATTTTAAAAACTAAGTTTTTTAGTATTTTTTTTTTAAAATTTATTAAAATGATTTAATTTGAGACAATTTTTTCACCTCCGGAAGGACATAAACATTTTCCCCTATATTCTAAAATCTATTTTGAATATGTTATTTCTCGAACTGCCATTTGAAAGAAAAATTTCAGGGGAAAAAAAATCCAAAATGGAAAAAGAAAAAAAAAATCAGAATGTTGAAAGACACAAATACCCTTCCAAGAGAGGGCAATCATGTCAATTCAGTGTGTCCCATCCCAATCCCAAATCAAATATAAAATCCTCTCTGCAAAACCCTAAAAATCTTAATTAACAAATCTTCAAATCATGGGTCTTTTCTCTTGGTTCAGAGGCAGTCCTAAACAGCATACCCAACCCGTGTCGAAGCCGACGGAATCGACTTCCAATCCAAAACCAGTTCCGGGAATGAACGGCGCGGTGGAGGTGCCCATACGCGGGAGTGTGACAGTGTTCGAGTTTGGAACCGCCGAGGCCGCAACCATGGTTGGGTACTGCCCGGTGTCGGAAGAACTGGAACCTTGTCGGTGGGGTATTCTGCCGGCCAGTGGATCCAATGCTCCGCAGTTTCGCGTTATCTTTTGAGTGTGGAAATAATTATGAAAGTGTACTCCTTTTATCTTTTTATGAATGAAAAAAGCATGAACTTGCTTCAATTTTGTGTTTTGATTTTCTTGCATTTTATTTAAAAAGCAAATTAAGCTGCTACTTCTTCTGCTACATCCATTATCTTCTCGAATTCAACTTCCTCTACCGCAAATTCGTCGTCTTCACTTGCTGTTGCTGCTTCATCTCCCAATGTCTTCTCCTGCTTGTGTAACTGTTTCCTCTCCGAGACCCTTCTGTTCCATTCTTGCTTATCCATCTCAAATCTTAGGCTGTATACTTTTTTAGGTTTTTGTTTATGTCCTTCTCTTTCTCTGCACTCAGCAATGATGGGGTGATGCTGGCCTAGGATGCCAGGGAAACTCCATGAATAATTGAGACTTCTTAGTTCTTACTCAAATCATCCCAGTTAGGGAAGAACTAAAAAGACAATGAGCGTCTTTGGGGTTGAGATGTTGTTTTGGAATATACCTGCCAGAGATGATCCATTGATATCTCGTAGAGTAGTCTGCAGTAGAAGGACCATACATTAAACCCATTGTCTATTCCATTTACTGATGTAGCTGAAGTCACAACATATCTTCCTGTACGATCTCACTTAATATTTGATACCATATAATGCTCAGCCATTGATGTGGTGTTCTGCAGCTCATACGCATCATAACATTCCAGTTGTCCATTGAAGCCGGATGATCTTGCAAAGATTGTGAAACATCTGGCAGGTGACCAGTGAAGAGCACTAACTTCTCTGCCTTCAGTGGTTGTCAGCTTGCAAAGATTGTTCCCTAAGGAGTAGATGCTGATATCAAGTCTCCGCTCATCTCCATGGATAACGGAAAACTTACGTCCTTTTGGTTCCCAAGCAAATGACATGATCTTTGTTAGTCTTGTTATCCAGCTCCAAAGTGTCCACAGGAATGTCTTGCTTTCTCACACACAAAATGTCCAACCGAGAAGTGTTTCTCTTTAATCTTGTGTACCTTTCTTTCAGCCTCAATGGCAAGATAGTCACCATTTGATTGCCAATGCATCTTGCAATCACTGACATTGAAGAATTTCTTACGCCGTAAATCTTGTTTCCCAGGAATCTCATTGAGGCTCACCAGTGAATTTGAGGAAGACAACGAAAAATCAATGCTTAAATCCAGGTATTAACCAGTGGAAACAATTGGCTTCCAACTTACCCTTTAGCAAATAAAGGAATACACTTTTCATCTTTTTGTTCATCAAGGAAGAAGAAGTCAACAACTAATTACAGCAAAAGCATTCTAACTTTCATTATCCGAAAATGTTAATGCACAGTAATGCACTCACCATATGATGAAAAAAGAATATTAGCCTGCCGCTCTCAAGAAACAAACTTAAAAGCAAGAAAAATGTGGTTGTTAAAACTGGGAAGAAATAGCCTAATTCCGAATGATCTTGACGGTTCTTTACAGAAATGGAGGCAGGTCATCAATCTGTCGTCTTTCAAAGAACACTATAATCATCATCACCACCTATGCGGATGTAACACATTATGGCCAGTACAAATATGAAGAAAGATGAAAGCTCCATTGCCAGTGCTCCCCAACCTATGACTCCAGCATGCTTTAGGATAGCTGGTATAGCAATGCTTCCAATTGCTGAAGCTCCAGTTAAGAACTTGGTGGCATTGACCCAACTGTTGTATTGTACATAAAGAAGCAATTAGTAAATGTGGAAATCTTATTTTCAAGATCTTATTTGTGAATTCAGTTAAAAGGAAAAGAATTCTAACCTGTTATCAGATTCAGATAGAAGAGAAGAAGTATCAGACCCTGCAAAGAACAACAAGGGCATCGGCAGAAGCACATACATTATTACTGCAAGAACAATGAAGCATCAATGTCAGCTTGCCAAAATCTAAATTATAGTATCACTTGATGATTCTTACTTAATTGCAAAATAGTGAGGAAATAATCTCAAACCTCATCTATTTGAATGAAAATTATTGCATGCTGGCTAGAATGAAAAGTATGCATTTAAGCATTAAATCAGATTATATACAAGTCATTAAAGTAAAGGAAGCAATTATACAACCATGCCAGATTTTTGTGTAGGTACCTAATGATGATAGAACCACTAAACCAATTACAAAGATTCTGTAGGGAGCAACTGATTTGATGGCATCAGAAAGAACCAGACTTGGGATGTAATACAAGTCCAGAATGAAGGGAAGCCTGAATTTAATATAAGCCTACACAATTTGAGCATTCCATAGATTTCCAAAATCACATGAACTATAGAATGAGACGTGGAATGCTTGATGTCTGCACGTTTTATATGGTATTTGACGCAATCAGCTATTATGAGGCTGAGAAATTGGCAAAGCATCTAATGTACAAAGGAAAAAGCAGGTCAAACAAGAGCATCTCCTCAAATAATTCTGGTCCATTATTCAGGTTACCAACTCAAAGAGAATGATCTTTCCCATCACTTACAAGTTAACATTGGCCACCAGTTATCGTACAAAGCACAAGCCTGAACATCAAACATGAGGAATATCCAAAAAGTCTTTAGCACATATTCACATGAATGAATAATTCAAAGGAAATTTGGGGAACTGGATTAATCAAACACAACTAACCAAAATCTGCATCACAATTCCTCCAGAAACCAAAATTGCCAGAAATGCAAGTTTCCCAGTGTGCAAGCAGGCACGCATATAACCCGGTAAGTCTGGCATCGTCTAATTTGCCTGAATCCTCCTAGAGGGCCTCGACTGAAATGGAAAAAATTTTTCAGATAGAATTCATTCAAACAGCACCTACATGGATGAACATTCATACATAACAGATTACCAGATTCAAAGAATGACAAGCAAGATCGATGCTTTTTCTCACCAAATAACCACAATTATGATATCAATTCAAACTTTTTCACTGGGTAGAACGATGAAACTAGATTGGGAAGACGATTAAAAATTCAACAACCAAAAAAAAAAAAAAAAATTCAATGATTTGGTTGAATACCATACCAAGTTCGGATTGTGGGATTGCAGACGAATTTAGGGTCTCGTTTGGATTTGTCACGGGGTAGCCAGGGATATCGAATCTGCCACTGCCGGACAAAATTTCCGTCTTTTTGCCTTGAAGCACTGGTGAATGTGCGAGGAACAACAGGTACGCAAAAAAGGAAGAGCAATATCTTGTGAAAAGTCACTGAAGTTTTTTTCATTATGACATCTGGGTCACTAACTTTTAATACATCATGTCATTAATATTGAAAATGCTTCTTTCATAATGAATAAAAATTTATATATTGATATTTTTAAGAGCATAATAGATTTAATATAATGATTTTTAAATAAGAAAGAGATCTCTAAATTGGGTTAATCTAAACAAAAGTTTAATTATTAATCTTCTACTTACTTTTATAATTGAAAAGAATATTTTTTTTGTAAATTAAACAGTAAAATTTGACTAAATGTAACTCATTATTGTAAAATAATAAATTTTTATTGACTTAAATATATATACATACTTCTATAAAATCATCGATTGGCTATTTGCTTAATAGCTAAGAAAAAAAATTAAAAGGTCGGTGACCTACTGCATAAAAAAAAGTAAGTGATCAAAGTGTTATAATCCTAAAAGATTGTGACCTTCCCTGAAGTTTACCCAAAAATTCTCAACTACCAGAAGCTACTACTTTCTTCTCCAAATTTTTCAGTAGAAGAGGGAAAAGATTCGTTATTTTAACAAAACAACAAAACCCAAATCCCATTTCAACAAAACCTAAATCCCATCCCTCTCCTTCATCTTCAAATTCTCCAATGCTGGAGCCTCCACAGAACTTGTACCGTTCGTCCAAGGAAGATTTCTTGCGACTCCTAACTGGAGTCACTATCGCCTCCACAATAATTATTAGTCGACACCAACTTAATTGTTGGTTTCTTCCTCAATTCCGGCTCTAAAATCCCTTTTGATATAGGATCTCAAAAGGGTAGACTCCACAGACCACAGTTCTCTCTGCTTTTACCCTGTTTTGCTTCCCTTGTCAGTACCTGGTGAGTGAGAAATTTCATTGCTTATTGTGGCGACAGCACAGACAGCAGTGTGAGAAATGAGAATCGCTATCCATGGAAAGTGTTTCCCACCAATGCAAATTCTCATGCTTTCCTTGGAAGCACGATGCTTAATTCTTATATTTTGCATTGTAAACTTTTTTAGGTGCCTGTCTGTTAAATGGATGTCATTGCAATTGATGATGTACCAAAATGCTGCGCATCAGACTTGAGTTTGATGGTCCACTAACCTGTCTTAATCCAATGTGTCTTCTAATTTATTTGCCTTTTTCAATCTGGCCCGTCCATTGTGCACTTCATTGCTTTGCACATGGCTTTTTAGTTGTGTTTGAGATGATTTAAGATTTTAAGAGGTTAGGAAGCGTCCCTACCCTCACGTCCTTGTGCCCATTTTGGTTGTTGTTGTTGAATGGTAGGGAAATGGTAGAATATGATGACTACCAAATATACCAACCGAATTGAACCAATAGGGCATCCTTGGTGGACACCACAATTTTCTCAAATTCGCAATTTTTCGCATTTGGCATTTGTGTGAGGGACTCCGTCCCTATTGAGCAAAGCGGAAATTAGTTTCTGTATTTTTTATTAATTTTTTGGTATTTGATAATCATATTGGGTTTGATTAATCTAAAATTGAGTCACATCAAACCCATTAAAAAGAAACTCTTTTAGTACATGTTTTCCAATCAAAAAAATTAAAATCAAAAATCTATTAAAAAAAAAATTAAATCCTTTCTACTTAAATTAACACATTTTGATAATGATTTTATCTTTGCATCCTGATTTAAAGTTCTGAACTAGTATTGTCCTCACAGAATGATGTCTTTACATTCTGGTTTACATTCAGTGTCCAGCGTTAATGCTCCATCATGATCTCCATGCAGCCATATACAGCACATTGCAGCGGTGCAAGACCATCCACACATGAAACACGCCATTTATTACCTTCCTATTGAGGACTATAATTACTCCCTCAGCTGATACATTAA